AATGTAGGTCGGGCTATTCTTTCCCACTCCCATAAGGCCATAGAAGAAGATAGAAACCCATCATAATCTCCTTTGGTTGACGTGGTCGATCATAATGTTCGTGTATCTTCTAATTCTAATAGCATTTTTAGCAGTAGCAAAACATTTCATTTAAAAGAGTTGTGTACAACATGAATGATCTCTGCTGGCTGTGTGAACATTCCCTTATGTATAGAAGCGATAGAGGATGCCGTCAGGTTAAACCAAGCTTAATTGGCATGAACAAGATTCTATCAGACTGTGTTCATCTCGGCCATTCGTCACGCTGTAGTGGTCGCATCAAAGATCGCAAAAGCCAGTCAATCAAGCGAAGCATACTCGATCTGCTCAAGGACATCCCTGTGAATTTATTGACAATGATAAATCTATAATAAGAGAACAGACTACCTTGTCGGATAGGATACATTGCCTCAATATGTAGTATAATTTAACCTTAAACCTTAATTCTTCATCTCTATGTCCATTTATGTTTTGTGAAGGAACAATTTTCATTTTTTCTTTTTATCAAGAGAGCGGACGTCCGAGTCAATGATTTATTAAAATTAAGTAACTCACTCCTTTCCCGCCAATCGACCAAGCGAAGCAGACGACAAAGAGGCACAGTGAGTCCACTCATAAATCTTTGTTCAGTGCTTCAACAACGAGGGTATGAGCAAACATCATTTGAAGTATGAAACTCTAATAGCGGATGAAAAGATTGTCACTTCTTCTGCTTTTAAAGCAAGATCTCACGTCTTCTTTTTCTCACTCAGACAAGAATGTTATGAAGATATTGGACTTCAAGTTTGATGAACATGGTTAACTTGCAATACTTGTTTTCTCAAAGAAGAAAATAATCTAGGAGATATTTTGAGGTAATCATTTACATCATTAAAGGGATAGTTGAGTTCTGTTTTCAGACCGCAAATGCCTTCAAAGTGCATGGTTATTGCTCTTATTCTTATCTATGACATTCTAGTGCCCTTTTAGAACCTACAATTGCTATGAAGGTAATTTTAGACCCCAAAATGTTTGAAATTTAGCCAATACGAGCATACCAATTCAGCTCCACTTAAAAAAAACACGGTGACCGTTAATTGTTTAATTAAAAATAATAATACATGGGCCGGCTGGTTGTGCGTAATATAAGCAACACGATAATGCCAACAACAAAACCAACATCCGCATTGGCTGAAATACGACGTAAAAGGCGTTATTTCGTTTTTTCAACGGTTTTTTCAATTTTTTCAAAATATCTAATATTTGTGGTGGTACACAAGTATTAGAAATCGTTCTATTTCAGCCGTCTCTGAACCAATTTTGATCAAACAAAGATGATTTTGTCATTTAAATATTATGTTCTTTCAAATTTGACACTCAGTTTTTCATTATCTCACAAACAAATATTTTGAGTAGCGCCCTCTGCAATAGAACTCACTTATCCCTTTAAGAAGCAAAATACAACAAAACTTTAATATTCAAATGCTGAAATCTTTTATATATTCAGGTATTATTCGATGCCTTTTCAACCTCTTCAGCTACTGTAAATTCGCACACCGTTGCTTTTTCGACTGTCTAAAGTTATAGCTCATGTTTTCTTACAACTATGGCCGGCCTGGCGGGACTAATGTCATGTACATTCGGACCTAAATATTTCCCCTTCTGATGCTGGGCAGCATTATCATTAACTTTGAACAGATCTAAGAAGCCGGTGATGTGCAATCTAGTAAATTAGATTATAATACGTAGGCGTTTGGCGACTGGAAAAACGACTTCCATATAATGGGCAACGCCCCCTCCTAGATGATTTTTTTTTATATCGGGATTCTCTCTAGCATCTGTTGGTATACCGAGGGGGTAGTTGGTATGTCATGAAGCTCGTTGGGGCACACTGGGAACTTTTCCAGGGGGCAGAAATTTACATTTACATGTATGTATAGAAAAGGGCAAGGGCAACAGTATTACAAGGGAAAATGCATAGAGATAGGGGAAGATGGAGCGAGTGGGAGAGGCTGCACTTCTCATGAATGTCATCTATACCCATGTAATACTTAGATATCATCAAAACTGCATACAAATTGGAACAACCAAAAACAATTTACAATTTGCAGAACTGTATCTAGTCACGGATAAGATTTGTGAATACCACTTAAAAATCGTAATTGCTTTTGAAATCCCTCTATGAATGTTCAAGTGGAGAAAAATCATCATCAAAAGCGAAAAATGAAATTTACAAAATATGCTAAACGTATGTATTCCATCTTCTACTTCTTTTTAAAAATTCATTCAACATTTCATTTTTAATCAGATTTTGTTGAATAGAATACATCCTTCGGAATGGTGTATCCTGATGTTAGCTTGACTAAGCAGTCTACTTTCTGTCTAATTTACTACTAACCTCTCGATTGGTATAATCGGAAGCAATAGGAGCTAGTCCTCATGAAATGGGGATAATTGACGTCGATCTTTGGACGGGATGTGTCTGTAAGGACTATGCCATATCGTCAATGAATGATACTTCCTTGGGTTTCTTATGTTCCAAGTACACATGGTTTTAGTGACAGCGTCTTAGACTAGAGCTTTATAACAAATCTGTTGGTGGATATCATCTAACGATATCTACACCCTACACCCCCCCCCCCCCCCCCCCCACTCCCCTCCAGTCTCCTCCTAATCTTGTGAGGTACAGTAGGTCCATGGGTATATCGTGTCATTGTTGGAAGTAGTAATTGAACCTTTGATACTAGGAAAGTTAGCGTTCGGCATGGGTCAGGGAACCCAGCTGTGGGACATGGCTTATGTGTCAAGTTCCGATCGTGACCGCCATGGTATGCCATGGATGGTGGGGGAGGGGGTAGGGCAGTCATACGAAAGGGCGTAGCCATGGGCTTTTATAGCACCACGACACCCATCTACTCTCGGTCATAGTTTAGTGTGCTTATCTTGGCATGGTGTATAAACCCGACCGGGGGGGGGCAATGGTTTATATTATCTCAGATGCTCCGCCCCCTCTTAATGTCGGATTAGGCTACGCCCCAGTCATCCACAAATTATATAAACGTTCAATTATCCTCTTATTACATACCATGAACTTGCCACCTCTGATGAGCTGGGTCTAAAGTAATCGAAGGAAAAATTAGATTAATTGGAATTCCTAATGGGTCAACATTCTCGACAGAGCAGATTTGAATGGCTTGCGGTTCATGTACTCAGTTGACTCAAGTTAAGCATGCCATTGTGCTTTTACATAGAAAGTCTATTAACTAATGTGTTGTTGCACGTAGCAAAATGAAATTGTTTTATATGATGTCACTGTACTGGCATTTGTATTGTTTTCATTTGACACCATCGAAATAGAGTACAATGGTGGGTGCAGGATTTCAGAAATGGGGGGGGGGTAGAATAATGTATACTGAGAAAGTCTTTGATCCATCGAAAATGGTGCTTCTACATCTGATTAAGATCGCCTTAAACATATATAAATAACGTATGACTTTTGTTCATAATAAACTCATGGACGTGTATTTTCTGTATACAAAATACCTTTTTACAGTCGAACATGTATCAGAAGTAATTATTGTCGTCGATTTGGAGCCACAAGTGCGCTAATTCTTATTTATAGTTCATGAATTAACTCCTTGAATGGCTCTGAATAGACCATTCATTCTTGAGAAAAGAGAGCAATTGGGAAGGAAGATGAAAGCAAATCTTGATTCTTTTTGACAAAACAAAGGGGAGATTTTGTCTCGAGCTAGCATCCGTTTTTTTTGTGTGTGTGTGTGTGTTTTTATTTTAAATAAGGTTTAAGGTTTTTCGGTACATGATATAGCAATACTTCTCAGCTCAATATCTTCTGAACTCTATGTTTGATACATCCCTGTAGTTCTATAAATGGGACGTGTGCGTCATCCAAAACGTATATTATGGCCAAACTGATTATAGAGGGACCGTTATAATACATGATCACTTGTATGTGATCCAGGCTATAACGTACTAGAGATGAGATAGCTAGAAGCAGGTCTGTCATGTTTGACCCCATGCTACTCTAAGGTGCGTCATAGCCTTTTCTTGTTTCAAGAATTGACAAACAAAGGCTATAAGTATTGCTCAGGATTTATCAAAATAAATATATACTCTGCACGATGCATATTGCATTGAAGCAATTTCTACCGTCAAGATATGTTCATTTTGACGCCTAGTGAAGTTACAAATCTGTTTTACTTTAATATTCATCAGCCTTTGGATATAACTGTTTAGAAAGGGTTAAATGTAATGTATGAGTAACTTCTATTTGTATAATCATGATGAGGGACTTCCCAACCATTAAATTCTTTAAATTCGACAAGCTATCAAATCATTATGGAATGCACTTTACATGTGACTTTGGAAAATAATATGTAATTTGATATTTAACCTATTACAAAAAAAATATATATATATATATACCAATGAAAGATATTAGTTGTAGGTAAGGACATTGGAAACAAGAAATGTTCTCTCCTCAATATTATTATAAATTATGCGCAATATGGTTCTGTTTATTATCCACATAGGCCTACTTTGTTTTTTTAATTCAAGTCATTGCTAATATTTTTTTAAAGATATGAATGTGTTAGTAAATGAAATAATAGTGAGCTGGGAGATTCGTTGAATATACTTTATTTTTAGACTATGTTATGTTTCACTCAATCATTGAGTTATTAATGTAAATATGTATTGAAATTATGGAAATAAAAACCTCGCTTGAGGATAAGAGAAAAAAACTTGACACGCTGTTTTTCGTATCTAGTTCAACAGATAAAAATGAAATTACATTACAAAATCATTTGTATGAAATGATATTCACTAATCTTGAAAATTTTGAAAAAAAGAAATTAAATTTTCTCCATGTTTCACCTATTTTTTGGTTCAAATTAGGTTTCCACGTATAAATTTATCGACACAGATTGCATAATATTTTGTAAATTTTCTCCTTTTTTCAGCCATTGAGGAATTCCCTGGAGATCTGTTCACAGAAGAGCAACGAGCAAAAGGAGCGTTTATCACACATGCCATATGTGTAAGTATGCATCTGTTTCTCCGTCTGTTAACTAGATTTATTTTCTTACATGAACAAAGTATTCGTAATCCTAATTTCTAATTTACCATTCATACATTTTGTTATTTGTCAAACAGTCTATATGCCTTCTCGTTAGATGAATGTAGAATTCGAGTGGTATTTATGTTTAAAGCTACTATGAAAAACATGTCAGTGTCAACTCATATCAATCAATTGATAGCTTATGAGCATTGATGTTGCTGAAAGACTGGTAAACTGAGAAAAAAATTCACTGAAATATTACTTACTCCATCCATAATTCAGACTGATTTCTTCTGATATTGCCTAGAAAGCAATATACAAATAAATCCTTTGTAATAAATGAGATTCTTCAGTGTAGATTAGTAATTCCCAAGAGTAAAGTGAATAGGTTAGTATTTTATTGATCTACAAGACTTTTTTCTATTCATTGGATGTTACATCTTCGGTTTGACATTCTTAGAACCGGAGATGATTCCCTATCCAGATTCGATCATCGTATGTTTGCAATGTAATCGTTGGTAGAAGCATGGTTAGGTTGTTAAGATCTACCGACGTATTCGAATGTCAAGAAGACATCGACAACATGTTCAAGTGATCTTCCAGATTGGAGGTTTAATGAAGTAAGGGATCAAACGACAAAAGTCAATTGACACCAGAAACCGTAATGAACCCAAATGACTAGATGTACCAATCTTGTCCCGCTAGAAATCGAAATTGATTGACTGCAGGCCATACTGGTAGCGTCACATTCTAACGACGCAAACACGTGTGACATTTCATAGCCAACCTAATGTTAGGTCAGGGTGTATCACGTGACCTTCGTCATTCCGCTGCGTGTGCGACTCCACACGAAATTGTCTCATATGATTAGCACCGACTTCATGTATATCATTGTAATCGTGCGCTTCTTCAACTTTGACAGTAATGGATGATGAATTTGTTTGCGTAGCGTCATGAGTTTATATGCGTTTTATGAACCGAATGAACCTGTGAATGAACAAACAATGTTTATCTGATATCCACAGAAAATGTCATATTGCTTATTTGGCATTCCAATACCTTGATTGATAGGTTGAATGATTGGTGTTAAGTTACCACACTGGTGAAAATGCATTTGTAAGCTTTCGCGATATCAGCAAGGCGCGTTAATAGGGAGAGGGAGTTGGTGTAGTGTTACTACTTTAAATAAATCTTGAAAACAATTAAGTCAAATCAGAGTCGCATCTTTTAGATATTATGATTTTTTCGGTCGCATACATTAATAATTAAATCTTATTGATGTCCCTTAAAGCCTTTTAAAATCAATGACAATGGAGCAAATCGACTCATGATGTCCACGGAGCCTGAACTAGGAAATCGGGAACTGATGCCTGGTTGAATCCGGGACCTTCCGTTTCCAAGCTAACTGCTCTAACTCCTAAGCCATCACACCTTCTAAAATGTTATCGGAAAAACGTAGACCCTCGAGGTGGTACATGAATTAAAGAATAAAATCCCATGTTGATATTTCAGGTCAACGGGGGAAAAAGATTGGTGAACGATTTCGCATTATTAAGACCGCGGGCATTGAATTACCCAGCAAATGGCGTCAACATATAACAGTTTAAGATAAATCTGCAATAAGGCCTAGTCTTCGGGAGGGGTTCGTGAATGATTTTAATATTAATAGATTCCCAGAATATTACGCTACATTTTTCATTACTTTACATAATACTAGTTTAGTCACTGAAAAAAGAAATATAATATAATAAAATGTATATGATATAGATTGTGTGTTTTTTCTTACATAAATCACCAAATTATTTGCCAATTATCTAGGATGCGTCTATGTCATGGAATGAAATGGGATTTTCTTGAAATGACCTCTGAGTCTGTCCCCTCTCAACTTCCCTAGTGCAAATTTCTTCCTGTGTCCTAAACTGAATGAACAAAACGTGAGATTACATTTTGAATGAAGAATGTAAAAGGGAAATCACTTACCACCATTACGCATGGATAGTTGGACGGGTCGGAAATGAATGACATTGCCATTATCAACTTCAAAAAGCTTTCACCTAAAAACCTAAATACGTGCCCTGTCCTATTTTTGTTCACGATTCTGAGTCTTAGAACATCTGTCAATAGCAGATGTGTGAAAACGAGATTCATATCTACCACTGATCTTCAACACAATGTGCGATCGTGACCTGGTGAATTTTTCAAATATAAACAGGGTAAAGTCTGCATCGACTCTAATTTTGAACATTACAAACCTCGAATGCTATGTCTGATCAAAAGTCTGAACCTATCTATTTGTACAGTACCTGTACAGTTTTCAGAGCAAGGACAATGACTTACTTTATAAAGATTCAATTACAAAACGCATTCTATATCCAACATGCCGCAGTTATGCTAGCTATTACTAGAACAGAAAAAAATCAAATTCTGACGTTTTTGTTTTCATAAGAGTAGGTTATTTTCGTTTGTCTGAAGATGGAATACGAGGAAGTGGCAGGCAGAGATTCTAACTTAGGGAGTCTTTGATGTCGGTGCTCATTAGCGGGGTACCGCATGGTGGTTGAAGCCCATTACATATCATGTGCAAGACAGATAGCTGCTCCAAAAATAGCTTCAACCCGGTTTCACAGCTGTCATTTTCACTCTGAGCCGTTCCGGGTTGTGCAAACTCTGAGATTGGCACAGCAAACATGATGAACCACTAATGATCGGTATCCCTGATCCGTTGGCACCATTTCTCTCATTAAGTGAACATTTTTGTGTGTTTACACGTACCAATACATGCTTTCTTCTACTCGAGAAGAGCATGGTTAACATTCATGAAGTGGACCTTAGTGTGTTAGCCCATGTTCTCTGATGTGACATGCCGCAGGGTTTCGTGTGACGTGCATTACCAAATAGGTTCATCTGCACTTTGTGGTGTCACAAGAGACAATGCCTTTGCTGGTATTAGATTCTCGAATACGTAAAAATATCGGATTCTAGTCCGAACTGTGGCTAGAGCTTTGCTAACTCCCTGCCTATGTCCTTGTGCAGAATTCAGGTCACGGCTTTTATGAACATCATACCATTGGTGTTCTATTCTAAAACATGATTGCGTATTCCCATGTACCACATTGAAATCCATTTATTAACACAAAGTCATAACAGCGTCAACAATTTTGAATACTAATCCCAAGGACGACGTGGAGTTAGGCAATTTAAAAATTAGGGGGGCATTGCTATTTATACAACCTTTTTTAATTCTATAATAGTTGTATTAATTATGCATGTTGTTATATAATCACTTTTATTTGTTTAATCAATTCATACGCTAGTTTTATAAACCGTTTTGCCTTTGTTGATGTACAAAATGACCAACCGGTGCAGTGGTGATTTGTTGAGAGCATATTATTACATAAGAAGTGTCCAACTTGCTTTTCAATTAACAAGCATATTAATTCGATGACTGGGTCAATTTTAAAACATCATCCTTTTTAAACACATTTTGTTTTTCTCCCTACAGGCCGTATACATGTTTATTGCCCTGGCCATTGTCTGTGATGACTATTTTGTGTCTTCGCTGGAGAAAATATGTGAGGTAAGAAACGAACAGATCACCTGGCCAGCAAGCTAAACTTAGACTTTCAATTTCGAAGAAACAAAATTATCGTAGAAAAGAATTTAATGAGGAATGTGTTTGTGGGTGGTCGGTAAATGTTGTTAAAGTTATTTTTATTAATTTTGATGAGATCATGTACATTCTCATCATGTTAAAGATAAGGTTGAGTACTGGTAAAAAAAAGAAAATTATTTCTCACAGAATCAAACGAAACTTACACTGAATGTTCAAGATTACAAATAAATGACATGTGCCAAACAATTTTGGAAGAAAATGTATACTGGCTGAGTAATGAGCATAGAAAGACAAGGAATCAAGGTAGTACCAACCCCGACACCATGCGTGTTGTCCCATACATAGCTTTCTGTGTATGTGCTTGTTACTTTACCAAGACTCGGTCAAATTTATTATGATTTTGATGACTCCAGAACCTTGCAGTGCACACCAATACTTACATGCTACATGATCAACTGTTTCTGATCCTTTCCACACCTTTTCTTTCACAATGCAATCGCATTACCAGTACTAAAGTTTATCTTTAATGTTTTCTTTGCAAATTTGATGGGAAAGGAGGATAAAGCGATAAATGCACAGCATCATAAACTGATTGGTAGATTTTTGGCTCTTCAAAATTTTGATAATGATGCCATTCGAACCATTAGCTTACGTTTAGACTTCATTATTGACACATAGTCATATCTATACGAAATATTTCATCTAATTGTTTAGTATATCCCTTGAGCCCCCTCTACATTTTAATATGCGATTTAATGTTCTTTCATGATTTACTCGTTCAAGAGAATACGTGACGTTTATGTGCACACATGATTAAGTTTAATCCCCCTGAACACTCATTTCATCCACAGTTATTATATTCCACATTGAACACAGGTGAATATACTTCACATATCCATTACGTAGAGTCTCGGGAATACACGTGATGTAATTGTGCCTTATAGGTAACAACTGTTATAAAATCGTTTTTATAAGCGAAATGCAAATGTAAGTTGCTGTGTGCTAACAGTAATTGAGATAGCAGTCCACTTTAGACGCGAGTGATTGTTTATTTAATATTATTGAATTAAGTTTCGAATGTAAAACGTCTCTCTCATTGTTATTATAGAATACATAGTTGTGATGGCAGCTATGTTGACATATTCAATTTTGTAATAAAATGGTGCTCTTTGCAGCATTGGTCATAATGATTCTATTAGGGGAAATAAAAAATGAAGAGGATATAATCACATACATTAGTCTTAATCCTTAATCCTATAACCATTACCCTTAAAGTGGAATGATGATGACTTTTAGAGAAAGAATTAGAAATGTATCGACAACTCCGCAAGCAGAATATTCTGATAAAATGATAACTTTGTAAATCATGCTTCTTATTCGTACCCCCATCTTCGTATTTCATTTAGCATTTACAAACGTATCCCCGTCTGAGAAAGATCTTGTCTTTATCATCTTATTGATGTATAAGACAACATCAGCGTGGGAGGAAAATATTTCGCTTATCCGACAGTCAATCTTGTTTTTTCATTTGGTTGATTAGTTAGCTAGCATCGAAACATGGCCATCATTATCCAAACAGTAGGGAAGCAATGGAAGAAAATATGCATGTCCGAGAAATAACTAATGGAAAATTTTGCATATTTCAATTTCATTTCAAAATGTTGTATTTCTAATTAAAACCCTTTTAAGACTAGAATATTTTTAAATGAATAATTAGTATTTGTTCTAACATAATCAACTACTTTTCATAATGATCCTCTCATTGAGAAATTAACAAAATTACCAGGGTTTTCACTGATAAAGCGATATTTTTAAAATTATTTTCATACATTTTAATCGACCATTGTTATTAAAGGGAGTTAATACTTCTCATTGTACAATCGCATGTTAAACATGACGAGTATAATATGTACACAGTGCCGAATATGAATGTAAAATGTAGCGTCTCTACGACTCTACCCATTGTATTATCAAAGGTATATTCAATAAAGGCACTTTGTAATGAAAGAATTGACATTATGGCGATTCTAGTAACATTGTATCTCTTCTTTATCTTTCCATTGGAAACATCTCCCACACGATCTTCCTCCTCACATCACCTTTTCTCATCATCTTTATTCAGAACCTCAGCTTAACGGAGGACGTTGCCGGGGCAACCTTCATGGCGGCCGGAAGTTCTGCGCCAGAGCTCTTCACTTCAGTAATAGGTAGCCGCTCAATGCTTCTTATCTCCTATCATATACACATGATCAGATTCAATTTGTTACAATGCTAAACAGAGAATGTGTTGTGGCAAATGATAGATTATGAAGAAAGCTCAAGATCATTTTCACTGATGCTATTTCAAGTTGCTCTGCTGGCACTAATTCATGTACAGGCGTAATTATGGGTTTATTGCTTACTTTGTTAATGTTAGCTCCTGTGTTTCATTACGAGGTGTATAATACAAATATTAATGAGTAATTTAGAATTGCCCTTGCCAAGTTCCCTGTATCTTTTTCCATATTTAATTCGTCATAAATAACAAATTCTCTGTTCGATTTATAGAAATGAACTTTACCTATTGCTATGATTTTCTCCTTTGCCGAAAAGTAAGATTTTTTTTTTTAATTTAAGTTTTATTTTCCTCTTCAAACAAAAGGAAGTATAGATACCTAGGAAGGCTGACTGCACTTTGCATCTTCTACCAATAAATCCCATGAAACTCTTATAAGACTGTTTTAAAGGTTTTCAGAAGTCTCTAATGGAGGCAAAACAAAAACAGAGAGAGAAAAAAGTGGCACGTGAAAGAAACGAGAGGCGTTTGCGATAATCTACCTTCGCGGGAGTACATTATTCCTACACAGTGATGTCCAATGTTCAATTTGGCATTTTATTGGTGTTAGGCGCGAAGCAATGAAAACATTAAGTGGATTATGGTGAAGTGGCGCAGACGACATAAAAAGATGGGACTCTACAAACCCATCTCGTGGGAGAGCAAATTCCAGCTTGTTTGGACGGGAATGAGATAATAATGCTCATGGCCAAATTGCTCTCAGTCGCGCTCTCAGATTGCTCCTTTAGTGGCCACGCTCACTGTATATTGGTTCCTGTTTTCAGGCAGTGATATGAATGTTATTTTGGCTGATGTGGTGTAACGTCACGATGTGGATGTCAAAAACACCTTCAAACTTTGACAGAAAGGGGATAGTCTATGAAAGTGTATTCGATTACTCCGCTGATTTGTCTATTTATTTTTTATATGCATGTTCACAATTTCACAATTCATTGGAGTTAACATCACATGAAAAAGAATATAATATAAAAAATCATTTTCAATTTTACAATCCATTTGAATTGACTTCAAATGAAAAAGAATATAACTATGTTTTATCAAAGGCAAGTTGCAACTATTATACAGTTTTAAAGAATGAACACACAAAGGTGATGAAACATAAGCAAATAGAGCTTGAATTGTTACAACATCTTTCAAATATATGAAATATGGCAAATAAAATTCCTAGAAAGGGTTGTGAACTAAAGGGTTGATTACATCACATTACAGTTTTCTGAAGATTCTCTGAAAATGTCATCAAAATTAACACTATACGCATTGTAATAGTGATATGACATCAAATTGGGTTTTATACATAGTATACTGTTTTAAAATAAAACGTCTGTTACAAGTAACCATATCCTAAAGAAATTCTGTAACTACCAACTGGAAATGGCCAAGTGTCATTTCGGCCTCTGTTTCCATGGTTTAGCTTCATGTATGTACTGTATCGTTGAGAAAGCAAGCTCATACTATCTAATAATAGACGCTTGATTTAGTTTGTCTAGAGACAATAATCATCAGAATGACGTAAAGTATTTCGCATACGTACAGTTGCACTTAAAATGATTTAATCAAGGGCTCTCAGGGGTTTTGCGTAATAATTTTTCTTCTTACGCGTGTAAACTTCGTCTGAGAACTATCTCGTTGCTGTTGAACGGAGTTCAGTGCATGGTTAACCTACAAAAGGCATGATTTAATGAGAATAATAACAATAATAAGGAGAAATATTTTTTACACGCCTAAGTTTCTATGCGCCATGGTGCTGTTATCCTTTGCATCATTTGCAGCCTTTAAGCAAAGCATAATACTTACCCAATAGAGAGCTTGGACAACAGCACACCAGCTACATTATTTCATAATGGGTACTGTACAGTGCTGGGAGGTGTTTCACAAATACCAAAATCTACCTAAGTTGGACTTGAACTAAGGCAAGTCCAACTTAAGTCAATCTTAGTCTTTGTGAAACGCCCCCCGCCCAGACGACTGTGATATGAATGGAAATATTGACTACCCCCAAAAAACATAATTTTAAGCTGCTTTTGTCGTTGTTCCGATAAATCCCAAGCTCATGTATGTGCAATTGTGCATCATTTCGTCAAGTATGAATTTATCGATCCACAGTACTGTAATGATTAATGTGTTAACTTTGACAGTGTATGTGGGTTTGTGATAGGGAAACCAATCGTAACTATGATAAGCAGATGATATTTGATTGATGGCTTCAGTGATCTCTCTCACGAGGAGTCCCAAAGAAAATCAAGACAGTCATGTCTCACGTGGTGAGAAGAAGGTTGAAGAACTGTCTCATTACCTTGTCATCTTTACGAGGAAGGAAGTAATGAGAGTATAAGATGAGGCTTTGAGCATTAATTGGAAACATAGAACAATATTTCATAGAAGATGGCGTTGATGAATTCTCCAGTTTTTCCTTTCCCGTATCGGTGTTTGAACTCAGCTAAAACAGGATATAAACCAAAGATTCGAGCAAAACTTAAGCAAAAATAACAGGAATTTTAAGAAGAGATATTTGTTACATAATATAGGGAACACTGTGCATAATCCATGTCTAAATTCGTTTATTTATTGATCAATATGTTCCATTAGAAGCAGTTATATTGAAATCCACTGCTCAACTCAAATGGTCTTGCATTATAATTACCATAACATACACCAAATGGAAGATAGGGCCTTCATGTCAATGATTTTAAACTGCGAAACCTTTACAATTCCGACCATTTAAATTGCCCCAGTACCTGAAGTAATGTAATTGTGCTTTCCATTACTTCGTAGGTGTGTTCATTGCCAAAGGAGACGTAGGAGTGGGCACGATCGTGGGATCAGCTGTTTTCAACATTCTTGTCATCATTGGATTATGCGGACTGTTTGCCGGTCAGGTAATTAACGCATATTGTACACACAATAACTAGAGAAAGTTCAGTTTAGGTGATGCAACATGAGAATGGATAATCTACAATGGGTCGCTTAAAAGTTGATCAAATACGCCCACAGATATGCAAGGAGCTGAAGAAGTTGGGCAAGGAAACGGATTTTTTTTTTTTTTTTTAATTTGCAAATAGGAGTTTATAACGCCCTTCTGACTCTCAGCAGAATTTTAAAGAGGCAGAATTCTTCCCAGACTGGGGGGGGGGGGGAGGGTGTAATGTATTACTGAGTTTCGCGTTTTGCCTACTCAGTACGTTGTTTTGGATTTTTCCTCTCGCCTTCAAATGGGCGAGGAGGGCCCGAGGGTTCCTCCCTCTGCTGGATATGCCGCTAAATACACATGAATAAAAGCTTAATCGACATGTAGACAGTAGGCAGCAGTGAACCACATATAACAGGATTATTTCTATTTCTGTCAAAGTAACGAAGAAAATACGACGATAGATATAAACCCGTTAATAAAACGTTTAAAAAAATATAAATAAAAATAAAATTTCTTCATTCAAATTTTCTAACCTTTCATAAACCAAGGCTTCTGATCTTGAAGTAGGATCTCAATTTATTTATTTGTTAATCATGGACGCCTTGTTCGAAGGATCCGTAGTGAAGTAGGTTGAAAACGTCATGTGGAAGATTTGAATGAGAAACGTGGATTTAGAGCAAAAACATATCAAATTAGAATTCAACGCGTCCAGTTCCTGAAATGGACAGAACATTAGTGGTGAATCCAACATAACTATAATGAAGCCAGTTTTACGCCCCGTGTTTGAAAGACTGGATCAAAACTCTATACTACCTAAACAAAATAAAACTCGTCAATATTTGTAAAAAAAATTGTAAGATTATTCGTCGGAGAATCAAAAATAATCCATACATTGCGTGATGTTTATTTCGGCGTTCCTTCTACGTTTATTTTGAGTAATTGAATGTGACGATGTCCTAGCCAGGCGCATGGCGTCTTGGTTACCAGTTATAATCCCCAGTAGCTGGATGGCCTCGGGCAAGCAAAGCTTCCACTTAATATGGCGTCGCTTTTTTCTTGTAATGGGAATGAGACTAAAGTCATAGAATGTAGAGACTTTTTTGACGGTAAGAACAGTAAGATCACAAAGATTATGCGAAACGAGGAATGCATTTTTCCGGCTACTATAACGGAGTTAGGAATGATGTATTTTGTAACTAAGTCTAATGTCTAAAGAAGAGCAATGAGAAGGGATGGAGGAAAGTAAATGTGTGGCAATGGTGTCGAAAAAATAACTTATTCATATATCTTGCTCTTGGAAAGAAATTAAATCCTCGTGAATGTTGTAAACTTTAAGAGGGTAATTTTTCAAGGGTCTCTTAATGGTTTCAGTTCGGACACCTACACTAAATAAATGCCCATTTCAAAACCAATTAGATTTGATTAATTTGTTTCCGTTACCGATTCGTCGTATGGATTATTCCTGACTTGAACCTCCCACTTCTTAAGAAGACGTTAATGTCCCTCTGACAGGTTACGTTCATGTGTGGTATAACGCTAAATCAATACCACTTCCTGTTTATGCGAGCCCTTGCTCCATACTTTCCTATTCATTTGCACCCCTTCTTTTGATACTTTGTGGAATAAATTTCATGAACAAAATATAATTTGATCAATACCAGAATAACGTGTTCTCGGGTGTAAAATAGGATCCCATTCCTTGGGTCATTTGGTCGCTGTTAGCTTCCATGCTTCCGCTCCCTGAATAAGTTTTCTTGCTTTGTTGCTTTAAATGATGGTGATTTTGTTTTTGTTCTGACAGGTAGTCCATTTGTCATGGTGGCCTCTATTCAGAGATACATTGGTCTACGCAATTTCAGTAGTAACTCTCGTCTTGGTCATTCGGGATGGATATATCAATTGGTAAGATCTACAAGCCTATTTTATGCAAATTCATTTGTTCCTATTTACTCTACTATACATGGTTAATAAAGAAATTACCCCTTCTCTTGTTCCATCTATCCATATTTCTGCCTCTCTCTCTCTCTCCCTCTCTTTCTGTTATCTTCTTTTTTCACATTCCCTTACAGCACACACACACACGCACACGAACGCTCACATCTTCTCTCTGTCTTTGTTAGAACATTATAATAAACTTAAAGGCAGCATATTGTTTGCACGTGAGTTTATTTCCAATATAATATCTATCATTCAATTTTAGTGTTGTAACATGATGATTCACATAAACTTTGGTAATATACATTTATACCTTTTTTCAACATGACTTTGTTATCCCTTTCTAAACTAAGTAATTTATAAGGCTTGCTTGTTAAAATACGAATTCCCACCTGACAACTCTCTGCTGTTCTTTGTTCGTACATGTTGTGCATAAAGATTCTATCTATTTCTATTTATATGTATGTGTCATATCTGTAAAGCGCTTATAGAGACATCGTTGATGTATTAAGCGCTATATGAAAGTGGAATATTATTATTTATTATTATTTATGATAACATTGTACTTCTAAGCATTTCTAATAAGATATCTGTAGGGATTTAATGAAGTATAAGGAAGCTGAGTTGAACTTTACAGGATTTTAACTTATATCTTTCTCTTTCGTTTGTTTTCAGGTATGAAGCATTGGTCATGCTACTGATGTATTTGTGCTACGTGATCATTATGTGGTGAGTAAGACAGCTTTTTACTTTTATGAATTAGGGTGCAGTGTACCATGTATCAGACTCAGAATAATTGTTAGCTTGAAATTTCTGAAACTATGAAGAAAAAAAAACGAAACACATGATGTGTCGAAATAATTATTCCGTTTTCATACGGTTAAGAAATTATCCAAAAGATATATTGACTTAATGTTTTATGCATTACATTTTTTATAGATCAAATACTGTTTGATTTATGTTTTATACTGATATATATATATATATATATATATATATATTTATCTCTGGCTTCGTCACAAAATATCATGATAGTTTCTAAATGCCTTGGGATGCAAAAGCAGGAAGAATAATGTGACCTCACAGATTTTAATGACTTTCCAATAACCTAATCGAATTCCCATTCTTCTTGCTTGCTTTAAAACAATCTAAACAAATTCATATCACTGTAATGTTGGCATTTTTTGTAGAAATCACAGTTACTTGCCAGTCTCATAATATCAATCGTTATATATATATATATATATATATATATATATATAATGTTTTCTATGTTGTTTACTTCTCAGGTGCAATCCCCGCCTGTTTAAACAAGCACAGAGGTTAAACGAGAGGAGAAGAAAGAAGAGGGAAACGTGCAATAACGGCAAATCTGCAATCCAACTCGAGCAAGGTAGATCGAAATTGAAGCAATCGTCAGTTATTAAGTCTTTTCGAGAAAAAAAAATATGCAGGTTTGGAACTTGATAAACTACGTGAGTTTTGACATTAGCAAGCTTTTGGATAATCAATGAGGCCAGATCATTGATGCATCTGAAGATTAATTTCTTTTTTAAAAAAACATGATAAAATCTAGCAGTAAAATTGTAATGGCAATATCAGTCACAAATAAAAGGACATTTAGGCATGACCCTTACATCAACAGTTAACATCTTTCACGGCAAACATCATAGAAGAACAAGAAAAAATGAGAGGAGAATTAAAGGGCAGTTTATCCATGCCCGCTTTGGATATCCCAGGAGTAATTGTATTTGTTTTTGCAGCTCTATGGACCTCATCTAGAGAGATATTTGATCACGATGACGTCATAAGCAGATTGTTTGCCGTGGGATTGGGATGGGACGTTTGAATAGGGTAGGGGGAAAGCGGTCGTCCGAAGATAGGGCATCATTAAATTTGCGGACGAATCTCGTTGCGTGCATTTCAAACCGTTACAAAATTGACTGTTCATGTTAAATCTATTTTTCAACGTAGTAATTAGATTGTCATGAAGTAATATGTAAACATTATTATCTTATTTGTTGTCAACAAATTTCATCCTGCTTATCTTACCTCTCTCCTTTTGACTTTATTTCTCTTCCTATTCAAATGTTTTATTCATCATAATACAGAAGGAAAAACAGCTTATCAATAATGTCATAAAGAATTAGATAGCTAGGTGCACTGAAAGCAGCATGTTGTACTGTGACCTCTTTAATTCCTATAAAAAAAAAATATTTATAAACCTGCTTATCGCGTACTGTCGAAGGAATTGAGCGAGCGGGTTCGCTACAAACAGTCACCAGATGGCGTTCGACAATTTATTTACTGTATAGATATTAACGGAGAATGAAACCAAACAAACATTAGCTGATAATCTTATTCAAAACTGTCGGTCAGTTAAACATGTCTTAAAATTACTCCTATTTGAAAGCATATCATGGAAAAGCAATCTCTTCAAAGTTTACAGTCTTTTGGTAACCATTCTCCCATGGGATCTGCCATTTTTTATTTAGATAGTGATGTCAGAGTAGTACAAATCCCTTGACCAGCATAAAATGGATAGAATGTTGCATGCAGACGAGACTAAATATTGGATCATTTGGTATATTCGATGGTATATTCTATTCATTATAAATGTATCCGTTTTACATCAAATAGTAACACCACTCAATGCAACAGAAGATATCACAACGAATGGTGAAAAGAAAGAAGTAGAAGAGGTCGATGGAGAGTTCAGCAATTCACCTAAAAGGTAAACTTTACTATTCCTTGACAAAGGTGTAAATAGAATGCTTAGTGTTGTAGTAAAATAGTTGGATAGTGGTAAATGCGATGGAGAGTTGGTGTATATGACGTGCCCAACATGCGTGTATTCTTGTTGGGGAAACGTTTTTGAGGGTCCTTTCTACGTTTTCTATTTTGGCTTTATTGGTAGTAGTCCTGAACTTTGAAGGAAAACAAATAGTTGAATTCACTATTTTGGGACTTATGTTTTTTTTTTTTACATTTCAATGAAGGGTATTTTTACCAGTAGTCTTCTTTATTCCACTTGTATACTTGCATGGTATTATGAACACTCAAAGCTTGAGACAAAATGATCCTCCAAATTCGATGAAATTCTTTGCACTATCCCACGATAAACGAAGCCAAACACAAGGTAGAATAAATAAAAGGAAAGTAATCTATTCACCCGGGATTTTCATCCTGGGTTTTCATCCTGGGAGGGAAATAGATATTGGTGCAGTTGTTTATCGTATGCAGTGTATTCATTCAATATTGATTACCGCCCTGTCCATATCATCTTATCTCCACTACATGTGTATCAAGGTATTTCTATGTAGTAAATATGTTTGTGTCTTTGTTTCAGATTAACATTTTCTGATGCTGGTTTGAGGTTGATGTTAACCAAGCAATTTCCTGCTCGCACGCGACTGAGGACTGCATGTTGGCTCATCATCACTGAGGTATCAATTATTTGGAAACATGTGAAATCAACCAATTTCTTCATAAATCAGAAAAATAGTTAATCAGAATAATTATGAAGGCTATCTTTTATTGCTATAATCATGGGAAATTTGCTTCCACATGTATTTGTTCCCATCGGCTTGAAAGTTTGCAGGATCTGTTATGACGTTTAGGAATACGCCAAAGAAACAGAATGATGGTAATAAAAAAAAAGAGGAATACGCGATGCTGCCATAAAAATGTACATTTTCGGTGAAATAAGAATTCAAATTTATGAAAGCCCGGACGTAATGATCTTTTCCAATTCAAAGAAATAACTTGTTATTTATAAAAACACACGGATTTTTTTACTTACCATAACAGCAAAAACAATTGGAGGCTGAAAGCGGCGGGAAGTTTCCAACGACATACACCCACCGGCCAAGCCTACCGGAGACAGAGAAGAACGGCAATGTACCTCGGAGTGACTCCATATGCAAAGATGAGAGGTAAGGAATGCTACACTCAACGGTTATTATGTAACTTTATTCAGGCTGGATTTGTCTCACAAGAGACCATAGTCAAGAAGATATAGAAATCCAGAGAAAAAAATCATTTTAAAGACAGACATAGCCATTTGACCGTTAGATAAATTACGTATTCATTGGACGAATATATTTGTTTATCCAAAACAGTAACTCTAGGCCGTTACATTCCAGATGCCATCTCTAGGGTCATAGTAGAGAGACTCGTATAACTTGTCTTCTCTCAGTGCTTAACTTGTTTCAACTTCAATGATTTAAACAAATCTTATTTGCTACTGAAAAGATGACAAAATTATTGTCTCTTCCTTAACACAAACGTGATTATAACGACTGATATGTATCACGTAGTTTTAAATCATTGTTCTATTGAATATAGCTATCTATCGTCAATATTAAATCTTCTCTTTTCAGTGTAAATTATGGAATTTCATTGTAGTTCAAATAATGGTTTGTCATATATTAAGCCACCTTGCGTTGGCCGCGGTCACTCTTTCCTATGCATTCAATGGCGAGGACTCATTTTGATTAGTGTTACACCCCTGCTGTGAATTTCTTGTTTGAGTGTGTTTGTGTGTTTGTTTATGTGTTTCAGTTGGCATGGTGGCAGCGGTGGGATATGAACCCAAACAACTGAAATGTCTAGTACTGACAGATAGACTGAAAGTTTCACACTTTTCTTTTCCTTCTTTTCATATTTCAGTGTTGATTTGTCGATTGATAAAGAGGGGACAGAGGATGTAATCAGTGAGCGAAGCTTCCCAGAAATAGATTCTCCTTTTAGTTTACCAAGTAAGACATATTCATTCTATGATCATGCAGGACTAACCATAACAGCTTTTTATTCATTGTTAGATGCCGCTAGAATTTTTTTATATCGACTGGAATTACAAAATATAATTACTTGCCTGTTCTGTTAATCAACACGTTTAGTTTTGGTGAGTTATTTTTTGAGAAATGCACGCAGTGTTCCAATAAATTAGCCCTCAGTTTTATCTTTTGAAGAGTTTAAAAGCGGTACGATTTACTGTTTGTTCTAAACCACTCTCCAAGGAAAATTCGCCTTCCCACGAGTATAGTAGTAACATTTTGCGTAGAGGAGGAATGGGGATGTAAGACTAGGTTTATCTCCAACAAGGTAGAACATGTTGATAAGTTTCTAATATGCCGTCAGGGGTTACCAAACTTTTCCAACAAGAATTGAGGGGGAAATGCCATCGATTCTTTCCATTGGCCAACATGGCCGAAAACCAATTAAATTTACGGACAGAAAATTAGTGGGAAGTTATATTCTATTCCCCCTATATATCGACCCTGAAGACCTCTTTCTTCATTCCTTCTTGTATTATTTCCCTTTACAGGTGGTATAATAAACATACTCAAATGGATCGTCACCCTACCTATCTGTATTCTACTGTTCTTCACAATCCCGGACTGTAGAAGAAAACGTTTCGATCGGTGGTACATGGTTACATTCTTTATATCAGTAGCATGGATTGCTATCTTCTCTTACGTCATGGTGTGGATGGTGGCTTATATCGGCCACACCCTTCACATTCCCGACACCATCATGGGCATTACTTTCCTGGCCGCTGGCACCAGTGTTCCTGATGCTATCGCTAGTTTACTGGTTGCGAGAGAAGGTAATAATGATCAAATCGTAGATGATAAAACAATAACAATAACAACAGCCGCAATAACAGCAATAACATCATCAATAGCAACAATGATGTAAATCTTGATATTAAAGAGTATTGTAAGAATGATAATAATTATTATAAAATGAAATTGTATGCAACTTGTTATTAACAGTAAAGTAATGATAAAACTACTACTACGATTGATAAGTATAACTATATATACCTCTGTACTACACCTCGTTCAAGAGAGATTATGTATTAAAGGAATACCTTGTCTAAGAATATACACCTACTGCAACTCTCATTCCCGTTACGTAAGTATCAAGGTCATTTGGAGTCATTAAGACAACAATATTATGTTCAAGAGAGATTAATGTATAGATGGAATAACTTGTCTACATGCACCTCCTGCAACTCTCAATCCCGTTACGTAATCATCAAGGTCGTCACAGTCATTACTGACAAGAATATTATGTTCATTATCTCCACTCCCAGTCGTAGCATCTTACCAGTTTCACTCCCTGGTATGGATTGGTAAATGTAAATAAATAATCCTATCTTACCCATGCAATGGATGATGAGCCAGGTCTTGAACTATTAGCCTCCATATCTCTAGTCCAGATTGATCAAACCACTGGACTACGGACAATTTACTCATATTACCAGCCAGCAGTTTCTTAGTCAGGATGACTGCGCATAAAACCTCAACATGCTATACTTTGATCTTTATAATCTGCTGTCACTAAATTGTGATGATATCAAGCAGGGGCTAAAGAAAGTTTAAAGCATCTTCTATATTTCTCATGTTCAGGTTTGGGTGACATGGCAGTATCAAACAGCATTGGCAGCAACGTCTTTGACATTCTTATTGGACTGGCACTTCCCTGGTTTATTAAGACAGCATTCGTCAGTTACGGTACCAGAGTAAGTATTACTACAACTACTCATTCTACTACACACATACACGCACACGCACACACAAACACACCCTCACACACAAACACACCCACGCACAAACGCGCATGCACACAGAAAACATTAATACATTTAATGCCAGTTGCATTCAGGTATCATTGATGCAGTGCTACGTCAGTGACTGGCAGAGCCTTTGGCATGCCTTGAAGGGTGATACCTTTCAAAGAGGGAATAGAGGGCTTTACTTTGAATTAGCCTACTGGCATCGTGACCCACATAAATTATTTCTGTACAGGCTCGATTAGCGTAGGCAATGACGCCTTGTGTTCAATGGGCCAAAGTATTATACTGCAGTATCCTATTTATCCCATTGTGAACATTTACTGAAAGTTGCTATAAATGTACAAAGAAGTTGCATAACTATTTTAAGCTTCATAGTATTACCTGTCTTTTCTAACTTTTCTTGGAGAATTGCTATAAACATGATGAATTTCAGAATAGTTCTGAAGATCGGAGGGAGGTATTAATTTTATGAGTTATCATTGTTAAACTGTAAACTATTCTGTCTCATCTGACACCTCTAAATATACATGTACCATTACATGTACTATTAAATGTACCCCTTAACATACTCGTGAAACGTGACATATTTCATGCTATTCTAATTCTTTATTTATTTGTTTACATGGAACAGATCAAGATCAACAGTAAGGGTCTTCTTTATTCGGTTCTTCTCTTATTTGCTTCCGTAACTGCAACGGTAAGAAAATACTGCTGATTCTTTGTTCTTAATCCATTTCCCACCGGAACATAGGGCTTCCTGTATCTAACATATGGGCATTAGACAATTTAGTTATAAGGAGGTTAACACTTTGTTTAAAATGTTGTCAAACTTTACACTGAAAAATGATCACAATTTTATGACCATTTCGAAAAGTTGTGTGTAAGTCAAAATAATCACTGCATTTTCCCCATTACCATCCCAAAGACATACTTATATGTCACATTATCCACATATGCTCATTGGCAGCTTCTTAGAGCCAGATGGATAGCTACGATATGTGAAATAATATGAATTAACGCCCTTCTGGCTCTCAGCAAAGATTTAGGCTTTTAGGCACATAGTGGTGTAATAATTGCAGGTACGTCGCATTTCAGCATCAGTTGCGAGAGGTTGAAAATTCTACCATTTGACTATAGTGTTGATGGAATTACAGTTTTTAATTACCATTTTATCATACAAAAAGGTAAAAAAAAAAAAAAAATCTTGATGGTGTGATTATCATACTCCAGTTATCAGTCTTATTGTTATCATATTCTTCAGTTTCATAATCTCTAATGATTGAAAATTCACAATCACGAATCTCTTTATCGTCACGAACAAAAGATCAAACACTTATATGGTTCTTCAAAATCTTTTTAAGTGTCATTTGAATGAGTGAAAAAAAGAGCGAATGTAACCATGGCGACCTTAAGAGGCAATTTACGTATCCTCTTCTTAACACATGAACAAGTACAGGTTATCAAAGTATATTGGTAAATTCAAAATAATTCCCACATTTGTTATATATCATCGGAAAGATCGTTGCTTTTCTTTCATATTTTTAATTGATCATGCTTAAAGATTAATCTGTTTAATGATGTGAAGTAATTCGGGATAATCAAGTAATTTCTCGGCAAATAAGAGTGACCTGTATTGCCAGCATCAAGTCAAGCGACAGTCTCCTGCAAAAGTGGATATAAGGTTGAATAGCTACAATATAAGTCATGCATGCAACAGATGCAGATTCCAATGAAAATTTAACTGTATAAATTACAGATTTCGTCTAGATCTTAACATGAAATCAATCTCGTATTATGATTATTTTCTTAGTGTTGGGTACTTCGGCTAATAACTAACTAAAATTCATTCCCGTTGTACTTTTTAACGCAGATACTGGCGATTCATTTCAACAAGTGGAGGTTAGACAAACGGCTCGGAGTGCTACTGACTTGTTTTTATGTTGTCTTCCTCTCCTTCTCAATCATGGTTGAAATGAACGTATTCGGTTATGTTAACCCACCAATGTGCAAGACTTAGGAACATCTGACACCAGCTCCCGTTTATCGATGCAGAAGACATATGTTAACCCTCTATTGAAACTTCTGGAAAGGAGCCCTCTATTTGATAACCTACATTTCAAGTCTGACCAGGGACCAAGCTATCGGTCAGAAGATAACAAAGGTGATCCCTTTGTTTCTGTGAGAATTACAGGAGACAAATGAAGACAACTACCAGAAAGTACTGGTCACATGTACGAGAATAGTGGTTTAATCTAATAAGAATGGCGTTTGTATGATCCCTAGACCTTTACTCGCGAAGTAAGGAGCGGAGTTAAGCAGGGTAGCCTCGTCTAATTCAGAAAATGATGGGATAAATCAAGATGATCAGTATCACAACCAGCATTATTCGCCACCATCGTCTTATAAATCCCATGCTATCGTGTGCTACGTCTAATTTGAACCGAAATGACATCCGCCAGAGAGGTCAAATGTCAGTCTTAGAGTCGAAACTATCTTGTTATGGACTTTGAAAAGTGAGGTTGTACATTTCTAGTGTGTTTAATATTAACATGAATGCCGTTTATCGCCAGGGGAAAGTGAAAAAGAACTGTTGGCAGAAACTCCAGGGAGTGGTTTAAACTATTTTGAAGTTGAATACTGATTTAAAATGTTTGGCTTGCTTGAGAATTAATGAAGTACGCAGCCCATTGTATTTTATTTGAAGTTGTTGGATCAGAATAACAGTTGGAATGTGGTCATTACTTGCTTTATTGAAGGAAAAATATAGATGACGGCGAAAACGTAACCTGCCGTGATGATTATTGAATTTGATAGTTTGGCGGTTCATGACGATTGTTTGATTAAAATATGTGATTAGTAAGAATAAAAGGAATAATCATTTCCCTTGTGATGTTTGACACGTTAGGTAGACAGGTACTGTTAAGATTAAAAATAATTTTCAGATATCTGATGTGGCACTCTTTTTTTGTTTGCATTATCTTGAAAGTTTGAAAAATGTATTTATCTGAATAATAATTGTCCTAAATAGAGTTTTATTGATTATTTGATCGAGGGACAGTTGAAAGTATTGTTTCTCCCCTAACATTTTGTTGCAATAATATAATCTTGGTATAGTTACTAAATTTTGAAGTATGTTAGATTAAAGAGTTTTCTGGCAATACACGTCTAGTAATTTAAAGTAAGAAAAGTGCACTTGTAAGAAGTTATTTTGACTCAGTGATTTCATGTGCCTATCACATGATCGGTCACGTGGTTTTGAAGGACTATGATCTCGGTTAATTTATATTGCCTAATTTCTCATAGCCAAGCGATTATGATTGTAGGTTTAAAAGAAGTTAAAAGAAGAAAATTTTCTCTCGTTGTGCAATGACCCATTATAAATATTGGTTATCAGAGGACATCGAAGACAATTTTGTGAGTAAAAATGTGCTATCATCCCATGATGTTTTACAGATTGTCTAATTGTCAAAGAGAATGTGAGTGTTTAGGAAACTCTTGGTATATAGCAACTGGGTGTATTTTCTTTTGATTGAAGATTCCCATATCAAGATGATTTTGTTGTGATAATTTTATTCACTTACGATGTAAATCTATGCATTTAATAGAATAAGAATGTTCATCTTCGTTAAAAAGATACTCGCTTTGATACTAAATTTATTAGGATTATGAGAGATGCAATGTTGTGTACCTATTTATCAAGAGATTTAATATTTTGTGTAGTATTTTATGTATATATGCACATAATTGAAGTATAGCTGTATAAAAGGATGAAGTTGATATTTATAATAACATTTATTCGAGATCGCTCTCTTCGTAACGGCACAAAGATTTATACATTCTAATTGATTATGCCTCGGAAAAATGTGAATTGTAATGTTTAAGAATTTCAAAGCAACTCGCAACTAATATTTGGAAAAGTATATTATACCCCCTTTTCCCTTTTGCATACACTTTTATATCTTGCCAATACGATTTAAAATGATCTTTTAAAAATGTTGAGGGTAATTGATAGAGCTATATCGTTAAACGTTACCATAGAACTTTCTTCGTGTAGAATACAATACATCTTACCATACAGAGTTGTAAATCACATCAAAGGGCTGTTTAAAGGGGTCAGATATATTAATTACCGTAGTAGTCTAAATGCACGTAGAGCATATGCCAGTGTAATCGCAGAATATAACTATACTAGCTATACTGGACATCTTTGTATCCTCCACGGAGAGGTTGCTGTAACGCGAAATTATGATTAATAAATTATCCTGGTATATGTTATAGACCCACAAATCTTTGGCTTACGTCTCAAACGAAATATGGTTTCAAAACATTATTGAAATATTGTAGCTGGAGTTGAGTCGATTTGAGGCCTCGATTATTATGCAAGGAATATTAATTGGACGATGCAATTGCACGTAAAGGTGACCACATAATGTACTTTGTAGTCTTCTCAAACTTATGATTAAAGCAATGGGTTTTTTTCTCCCGACTGGACATTATTAGTTGAAATGTGTACAAAGCAAAAAATGAATGTCGTATAATAGATCAGGGAATTGATAGTGAAATGTAATATATATAAAATATAACACCAAGAAATTTGAATATTTGTGGCTGTGAAATATTGTATATTATCTGACTTGGACAATTTTTTTTCTTTTTAGTGTGTGGAGAGAATTTTTTTGTTGACAGACCTGCTCTCACCCATACATCTGTCATCTGTTCTATTTTGAACATAATTATAATTAGACGGTAAAGTTATTTATTTTTGGCGATAACAGATCACCACAAAACGACGTTTAGATATGTGTAAAATTGATAAAAATAGCAAACTTCCCGGAATTGATTTCGATATTATGACTTAAAGGATGAGATTATGTAATTCCTTGGACAATACATTTAATGTTTGGGGCATTATTTTGTCTTAGACATCTTGTTCCACCCTACTTTTTGCATCACGGTAATAATCAAATTCAAGTATTGAATGCAAATTAAAAACATGTTTGATTTCTTTAATGAATCCCATAAATCAGGCTTTAGAAGATCATTTTCAAAACAAGGTTTTCTGCTCAAGATTAATCCAACGAATCACGTTCGATTTATTGTCATTACATTAGACCATATCAAAACAATATGAACTAACAAAAATTTATCATTTCTCTCTGCTCTCCCCCCCCCCCTAAATAATGATATAAAGAACAATTTGATAGTAATAAGAATAATAATGATATTAATAATAATTATTATAAATAAAATAGAAAATAATATTAATTAAAAATAATGATAATGATAATAATAATGACAATAATTATAATAATAATGTGTCTTGTTTACCCAGGGTATCCTCATCAGTATTAATACTGTTCTCCCTGAGGGCCCTGCAATCATATATTACACCGACTTAATTAAGCCAAGTTACCATGAGAATGCGCTCAAGTATTCCAGGAATTTCTTCCTATCGGGTACTCCTAGGTGTAAAGTGGCAATTGGACATTAATACCTTGCCAAAGAACATTAGTGCCGCAGCGGGACTCGAACCGCGAACCCTATTATTCACCGTCAAGCGATGTATCCAATAAACCACGACACCTTTCGAGAAAAAACTCTTCGAAAAAAAATTACAGTACGTTCTCGCTTGCATCGGCAATCTGACATATTAGTTATTATTAAATGGTATAATCGCTCAGCGGTCATTTTCAGTTTAAATCCACCTGCTGTTCAAAACTTTACAAAGGCAACTAGAAACATAAAGCAGGCATGTTCCGGTTTCTTTATCGACATGTATTTGCATTCAGATACAGATAAGTTCATTTAATGTGTAGAATATTGTAATACATTAGAGATGATAATGATATTCGTCCTTGTTTTATCCATTAGTGTAAAAAAAAAAAAGTATACGTCGTCCCCTATGATTAAAAAACTGGACACAATTTGATGAATCTTATATGGCTTGTGCGTTGGATTGAAGTTTAAATACTGTTTTTCATTACATTACTGCAATTCAATCCTATTTTGTTGGAGAATGTTTAATCTCGAATCCGGTCCAATCTATTGTAAGCAATAAGTGTAACTACTAGAGAAGAGAAATTGTACGTGCTTTTAAATATGTAATTGTGTTTGTTTGTCAAATCATTGTAAATTCATTAAGGCCACTGCATTTTTTTTGTATTCGATGATGACTTTGTTTTTGAAGATCCATGTTACACGTTATGTAATGAAGCTATAGGTGTTGACGTATGAATACCCCCGCTCCCCGACAATTCTCTTGGAAAAGTAATATGTTTGTATGAAAACTTTTCATCTAGTATGCAGTATGATTCCGATGTAAATCTAGGGATGCAGTGATATTTATATGTTTTTTTTCTTTTTATATCATGAGTTTGTTTCGTGATATCATTTCCTAGATCTTGTTAACCGATTTTATTAATGGGGATCATATTTTAAAATCTAAGAAATACCAAAACTCTCTAGAAACGCTATGTTTTCATGCAAATAATATATAATGCGAGAATCAGAAATATAATACAAGTCGTCTGAAATGTGGGTTGGAATAGAATAAATGTGGGAGATTAAATATTTCTTATTTTAACGCCCTTGAGAAAATATATTCCAATGTTAAATTACTAACAATTATCTATATCACAATCAAGCATCGTTTTAGTATAATACACGTGCTAGCTGAAGTTTAGAATAATGTTGTTCTTAATCAACTAAAAGCATGGTTATGTAATGAAAGGATTAAGGGCACTTACAGAGACTATAAATAACTCTTACGGTTATTTCGTGAAATAATCTTCCGTATTTATTTATACTGTGTGTTACAAACATGTAACAATGAAAACTGTTAAAATCAACTAGCCACCAATGTATTTATGTTTGTTTATTTACACATTTAGATGGTGATGAAAAAAAAATTGTTCGATAGATGTCTGCAATTGAACCGTTTTGTACAACAGGTATATTGAAAATTATCATAAATACGTTTTGAAAAAGAATCGATTCATATTCGGTAGTATTATTTTTTTATTTTGAACTCATCATGTGAAAATGGCAGGTGCAAGAACAGCAAATAGGGAAATTACGAATTTAAAATGTATACGAGTGTTTCGAAAGAGACAGAATAAAATCACATCCATCCTGGTGGTTAAGTGAATACATTTTAAGTCGGAACTCGATGGAGAGACAATGCCGAGGGTACAGGAATATTTGCTAAATATGTATCTTTAACCCGGAAAACCTGCTCAAGATTTACTTTGCCTCTTGTTTTGTTTTCTTTAAAAAAAGTACCACCTTTATTTCTTGATACATACATATATATATATATATATATATATAATGAAAATGCTAGAGGAACAATGTCCAACGAGATGCAGAGTGAAAATAGTAGTAACCCATGCCTCTTGTGAATTCCATCTAGCGTTGTGAGTTGATTATACAGTGCGTATATATTTTTTTTAAAGCGTACCCAGCTTTAGTAGCTTCTAATTACAAAGTCATAACCAATATAACTTTGAAATGTATTTCTTGATAAAGAGTAATTAGTTTTCTGCTCATTTTAGTCTTCATAAAAGGTACCGGAAGATATAGAGAATTATAAAGTGTATTATAGCATTGTGTTGTTATCATTCTTGTGCTTTTCATGCCTTTAGGCATAAAAGTAGCAGAGTGACGGAGGAGATGATGGACATACGAAGCCTGAATAAATGATGGCAGCCGATTATTAAATGAGCATACTATTATTAAACATAAGACACATTATTTATCATTAACTCTATAAATTGACACCAAAACTTCAGGATATTAATTCCAACCATCTCTAACATTGAATGACTAACAAATAGTGGGTAA